CTGCACGAAACGTCCTTGTTGCGCGAAATAATTTCAGCGACTTAACCTTTCGAGTCGATATTGAGGAGGCGGCGGCGGGGACACTTCGAATCGTAAACTCGCCTCGGTGCTCTAGGTTAAGACGATATCGTTTCTCGCTGTAGTACACGGCCCTAAGCTGGGCTTTAAATGCTAACAGCCATATTTGAAAGTGAAGTTTCTCGGCTATAGTATTTGTCTAGCTCGGTTGCTTTACTCGGAAGATGAGGAAAAGGGGTTCGGGGTCTTTTGACGGTGTGAGGTGACTAGTATGTCATCACAGCTATGATGACAGGGTGAGCTCCTTTAAGAAGGATATGAGAGACGTCAACTAGCGTACCCTTGAGCTGTATACCTCTTTCCTGTAGCACACCTCCAGTTTCCGTATATTCATAGGAAGTGTTTAGGATGTGACGCTGGGGTTAACTCACTACTTTCCTTGGGCACTAACTGTTCCTCTCTCCCTCTTCATCGGCGGACTTGTAGGGAGCTGTATCTGAGGTAAGGAGGAGGGATCTTCTGTTCTCTCTCATTGAGCTTTGTGGTGTTGTGCTGTCTTGAAAGGCTCAGGACATGTGAAACATGTATTGAATTGATTATTTGCTCAGTTCTGTTTCTTTTTTTTTTTCCATAGACTTTCTGAAATCTGCTCAACTTCAGTCCTTTATTTTGGAACTGTTCCTAAAAGCACTTTGCTTTTTGTGGTGCAGTTTAAACACTGTATCCACTCTAGATTCCTAATGGATTCCCTTAAGGAAATTACCTTTGCAGGTTCATCTTGTTTAGATGGAGTGAGTTTGTTTGCAGGTGTGTGAAGCTGTGAGGTCCTTATTCATTGCACTGTAGTAGGTCACAAAGTGAGGTTCTTGCAGTTTAAGGCAAGTTGTCTTGTGGTGGTAAGTGTTGAACCTCCAAAGGACAGAGCCCTCCTATCCAAATAGTCTTATACTTGCCAGTGAGTTTGAGCAGACCAGTTCTCGTCTTAGTTAATGGTTGGCAAAAAAAAAATGCCAGAACTACATGTCAGTCTGGCTTATTTCTTGAGGTGCTTGCTCTGCTCTATGGTGCTTGCAAACTTTCTCATGGAGTTCCAGAAAGAGCAGGCTATGAATCCTGGGCAGTCTTGGGATAAACTGGTTTTGGAACTTTTTCCCACCCTGCTGGATTCACTTAATTGCCCTTTCATTTAAAGACCCATGTATCTTAAGTGGGGAATGGTGCTTCAGGTTTGTACAGCTACAGCTGTATCTGAATAATGGGGAAGCAACTGAAAGACTTCTTTTTGTGACAGGCGGCGAGGGTGGTGGTGACATCACGCAGCTATGCTGACTTTACAGCTGAAGCTACATTTGATATTAAGGTAAGGTGTTCAAATGTTCATTTTCCCCACCCTCTGCATCGGGGGGCCAGTGGAACCTGACCTGTGGCTGGAAAGGCCAGGTCTCCTCCTCGCTCATGTCAATAAGGACCCTGTGCTGCTCTGAAACAAGTCTCTCATGTCCACTTGCAGAAGTGTGATGTGCACCGGCTGGAAGAAGGACCCCCTTCCCAGGCTGTGTTGACACGGGAGGAGGGCCTGAAGTATTACCGCACCATGCAGGTCATCCGGCGCATGGAGCTGAAGGCTGACCAGCTCTATAAACAGAAGATCATCAGAGGGTTCTGTCACCTGTCCGATGGCCAGGTAACCTCCCCACTGCACGCAGTTGGCCAGCGATACAGGAATGGAAGTGAGATTGGTGGGGGGGGGTAAATAAGACATGCAAATTCATTTTGTAAATGGATTGTTTCATGGTGACATTAAGACAAAACCAATCTCCAGGAACTGGTATAGTGGCACTAGACTTCATGCTGCATCCTAACCCATGCTCTCCCCCATCTTGGCTGGCAGGAGGCCTGTGCTGTGGGAATGGAGGCTGCCATCAACCTTACGGATCACTTGATCACTGCGTACCGGGCGCACGGCTACACCTACACACGTGGCGTGTCTGTCAGGGAGATCATGGCAGAGCTTACAGGTGGGGTGGTGACCTGGTCTTGATGGCTAACCTCTCCTCCTCATGGGTAGATGGTGGGTGGGGGTGTCAGTCCAGAAGTTTACTGGGTTTTTAAGTGTCCACTTTCTAGCAAACACCTCCTCCTCCTGTGTCTTGCAGGCAGGAGAGGAGGCTGTGCCAAGGGCAAAGGAGGCTCCATGCACATGTATGCCAAGAACTTCTATGGAGGAAATGGAATAGTGGGTGCGCAGGTAACCAAGTCTGGTTTCTTCCTAGCTTGTGCAACTGGACCCCATCTGCAATTGGAAGGGGAATTTCCACAGCCTGTTAAATTTCTGCTTGTTTTGCAATTGTTTACATGGTTGACTTTCCCTTTTTTTTGGTCCTTTAGAGACCTCCCCTACACAAGCATTCATAGCTTAATTTATATGGTGCATGAAAACCCCATACAACTAAGGGGTTCAGAGAATGAATATGTACAGTTTGTGGGGCACATAACAGCGTTTTGAGTACTTGATGGCATCTAAATGGTTTATCTCCTGGTACAGGTGCCTCTGGGAGCGGGGATCGCGCTGGCATGCAAGTACCTAGGAAAAAATGAGGTTTGCATGACACTGTATGGAGATGGTGCAGCCAACCAGGTAAGGTGTTCTGTAGCTAAGGTTATTGCTTTTGGTTAACTTGTAAGGGAAGACTGATCTTGTCCTCTATTTACAAAACTCATTTAGCAATATTAGTTTGAAAGTGACAGGCTAAAGTGTTGGTTCCAACCTCCACCTATACAGTTAACTGTGTACATGGAAACAATGCATGTGGACTGGTTTTCTGAAACTGCTGGACTATCTCCCCTCAGGGTCAGATCTTCGAGGCTTACAACATGGCTGCCCTCTGGAAACTGCCATGCATCTTTGTCTGTGAGAACAACAAGTATGGTATGGGCACCTCAGTGGAGCGTGCAGCTGCAAGCACAGAGTACTACAAGAGAGGGGACTTCATTCCTGGGCTGCGGGTGAGAGCTAGGATACTGCTACTCCCTTGCAAGGGCCTTGACTTGGGTGGCCTCCCCTGTACCCGCTAGACTAATCCTTTTCTCTGTAGGTGGATGGGATGGATGTCCTGTGTGTCAGAGAAGCTACCAAGTTTGCTGCGGAGCACTGCAGAGCTGGGAAGGTAACCACTTTCTTTTCAAAGTGGTGTGCGTTCACTATATGATCCTGCAGCTAGTGTGGTACCTGGCATATGGTCCCGTCTTGAACTAGCCTTTCTGAAGTGAAGTCTTTTTTTCAGGGCCCTATTGTCATGGAACTACAGACCTACCGCTACCATGGACATAGCATGAGTGACCCTGGAGTCAGGTGTGTGGCACAACCTTGCCGTGCTCTTGCATAACCTTGAGCAGTCATGCTTGTATCCTGTCATCTGGTTTTGATCAGACTTCACAGTGTATGTGGGAGTTGCTTGATGACCAGGCTGTGTGGTGATGTCAGTAGGTAATGGTAATTTCTTGGTTATGCAGTTACCGAACCAGAGAAGAGATCCAAGAGGTGCGCAGCAAGAGTGACCCCATCTCTCTCCTGAAGGACCGGATGCTCAGCAACAATATGGCCACCGTGGAGGAGCTCAAGGTGCTGCATGGTCTTTTTAGTCTTGCTTTAAGTGTCTTGGGGCAACCTTGTTGTGAAAGGTGCTCAAAGATATTGAATAATAGTTTTATGCTACTTCAGTTCTTTATGATGCTAGATTTCCATACTTCCTGACCTCAATCCTACATTGCCAAAGATGGGTACATTCAAGGAGTTGTGATGGTAAGAACTCCTGAAAAGAATGAGCTGTACCAATTTTATGGAGTTGCAGTTAAGTTGGAAAGCATGGGCAGGTCCCTCTAGGTAGACTGTAGATGGGCATCTCTAATTCTCAGCTGGCAGTGTGTTGTGGGGGGTTTTCACCTTCCCTTTCCTCTCCACAGGAGATTGACGTGGAAGTGAGAAAAGAGATTGAGGATGCTGCACAATTTGCCACCACCGACCCAGAACCGCCCCTGGATGACCTGTGCAACCACATCTTCTACAATGAGCCGCCGATGGAGGTGCGTGGCACCACCCCGTGGGTGAAGCTCAGGTCTGTCAGCTAAGCAGCCTGCTGCCTTGGGATTGGACCTGTTGGGGGCTCCCTGCCACATGGCTGGCTGGAACTACAGCAGGTGATCGGCTGGGAAAAGCTGCAACACATCTATGGATAAGGTTATAAATTTTCACTGTTCTGAAACCTGTTCTGGTTTAAGTTGCCTTGGGTTGCTGTTCTGCCCTTTAAAAAGGGATGCATGCTGTACAATAAATTGCCAATCATGTCCTCTCTTAGACTCCATGGTTTGCCCTCAGAGGTTAGGCTGGATACTGGCTGCTTCCTCTCTATCTTGAGACTGTCCCATCTCCTTTTATAGGAGTAGCAGCTTAACCAGTTGCTGTAACTGTGCATCCCTAATGGCCAATCAGATTGGAAGGGACTTCCCTGTATGAACAAAAGTGAAATGGGGAAAATGGCATCCACTAGCCAAGCCATGTCTGAGCCCTTAACCTCTGCAAATTGGGAGTCAGGAGCAAAATAGCCTGTTTTAAAGCCACTTGGCTTTTAGGGTCTGGACAGGATTTGTAGGCCATAGTTACCCTATTATGTTGCTGATCCTACCATTTGAGTCATTCTAATCATTCATTGCAAGACCAGACAATAGATTCTGCCAAATGATTTATTTATTTGTAGATATGGGGAATTATTTGTAAAGAACTTGAATTTCCTGTTTCCTCATGGGAACCAGCAATGACTACTTGGTGTACAACTGTTGAACTATGGTAGCCAGACCTCTTGGTGGTTTTAAAACTTCATCTTCCTGGAAGTGTGTAACCAATTCTTGTCCTGTTTTGTAGTTTGACATCTTCCCAAAATGTGGATGGGAATCTTTAAGGAGAGGGCATTTCAGACAAGTTGTCTTTGTACAGTCTGAATAAAGAGTCCAAATGTGTCATTTTTGTCTTGCTCTCTTTTTTTTTCTCACCATCTAACCCACAGCTCATTTGAGCAATAGTTCTGTACTCTTGTTGAGCAGCATTAGTGTGAGTAGTAAATTCCTTAATTCTTGCCAAGATGGGCTAGACCTTTTCTGCCTCTTTATTTATACAGGTCTTGTAAGTCCTACCTCTAGTTCCTTCCCCATTCTTTGTGGATGAACGTCTACTGTGGCCTTATGCATGACTTTCATTATGATGTCTGGGATTATCATCCCAACTAGTACTTAAATGTGCTACTGCAGAACAAATCTCTAGGAGCTGCATACAAGGCCCGAGTTGGGAGGAACTGGGATTCATAGGCTGAAAGGGGTCCATCTAAGCTCTGCCCTCCTGCGAGGCATGGTTACAGTACTGGCATGCAGCATCTTTAAATGTATTCCTTTATAGTGTAAGTGCACTGGCCATCAGTGAAAGTTTAGATGCTTCCTCTTAAATTGGTGGTTCCCACCCATCTACTTTTTGAAATAGAAATGTAAATTCTCTGCAAGTGGAGTTATCTTAAGGCATTTCCAAGCTCCATGATTCAAAAGGAGTAACAGAGGGCAGCTTCTCAGTGGGTGGCCCTGGAAATACCATGTTTATCTGGTGGTATGTGGGCAGTGGACCTGTGAGGCCAGAATAACTTGTTCAAGCCACACCTACTATAGTTCTCTTAGTCAATTGGAAGGCATTTTCTTCACTTTTAAGGCAGTTTATATACACTGTGGAACTTGAGGTGGGGGGTGGTAATATGGTTGTCTGAACTTGGTGCCATTGCCTATAAAACTTGAGGAATAAGTGCAGCCTCTTTAGACTGTCTACATGTCTTGATCTTCTGCCCACCAGCTTTAAGTTATATATTTTTTTTAAATACTGAATGGTTTACTTTTTATCAGCTGTTTTTCCAACAAAATGCAGTTAAGCCCCTCCTTGAAGGGAGAAATCGGGATCCTTCTGTACTTAAACCCATTTTGAATCTTCCCTTCATAGACCAGATTGAGTTTTCAATTTGCTTTTCAGATGACTTTTGGTCAACTTTCATTCGGGCTTTTTGACTATCCCAATCTGAGCCCGATATCAAAGGTACTTGATTGCCTGAGTACTGATTCAGGTAAAATATCTGTTCAGGTGTTACTGGATCTTAGTGGTGCTTTTGCTACTGTTGACCATAACATGCTTATCCATAGACTGGGAAATTGGGTTGGACTCTCTGGAGTGGTTTATGTCTAAGCAAGACTTGGAGAAACTCATTTATGCTTCACTCTATTAGAGTGGGCTATTGTCATGATCTTTTAATTGGCCTTCCCAAAAAGACCATTAGACAGTTGCAGCTCATTCAAAATGCTGCTGCTAGAATTTTAACAAGAACCAGGCAAACTGAGCATATTACTCAAACTCTTAGATCCTTACACTGGCTTCCAGTTATAGAATTGGTTTCAAAGTATTAGTTCTTGTGTATAAATCATGCAATGGCTTGGGCCCAAAATATATTTCTGATCTGTTTGAGGAATGTAAACCTGGTCAGTCTCTTAGATTATTAGGGACTGGTCAGCTAGTGGTGCCTAGAGTTAAAACTAAACATGGTGAAATGGCATTTAGCCATTATGCTGCTCACAGCTGGAACCAGCTCCAAAAGGATCTTAGCTGTGCCCAACCTTAGCCATCTAAATCTAATTTTTTTTTCATTTTTTGATTTTTTGTTTTTTATGGTTTCTATTAATGTAAAAGCACTTTGAATTACCTGTGTATGAAAATGTGCTATAGAAATTTGCCTTCCCTTTTAATATGCCAGTTAGCTGCTTTTCACCAGGCCTCATCAATACTGTGAAGAGGGTATTAAACTTGTTGCTGAAAATGTGACTTTATTCCTGCGATCAATATAGTTCACACAACTCTAAACATGCCCACTTCATTGCTTTATGTGCATGCTTAGTGATGGTTTACAGGTGCAATTCAGTCAGCACTGTTCTGCATTTGATATTCACAAACTAGTTCAAATGTCACACATGGATAATGTACAATATTCTTATAACCTGCAACTAAACTTTTGCATAATCCGTTACTTGGGGTCTCTGAGAAGTGGGTGAATTGGAATATTTAACGGCAATAAGCAGTTTACACATTCCAAGCCAATAGCTTGACTTGTCTTTTCAAGGCACAAAAATGGTAGCCGAATTACAAAGATACATGTAATCAAGTTAAGGCACATTTGCAGCATTCTGAGTGGTTTGTATATGCTTTGGTCTTCCAGTAGGTGGCACCATGCCTGGAGGCATGTATCACACAGGTGCAGCCTCAGGTGTGAAGGGGATTAACTGTCCAGACAGGCTTACAGGCCCAGCAGGAGGGACCACAGCCTCTCATCTTCACTTTCAGGGATCTGGCCCTGCAAGGCAGCAGGGCCTCCTGGTCCTGCTCACATGGACTGCTTGGTTCCCTTTTTGAGGGCGACTGAATCGATGACAATTGTCAGATTTAACATGCCATTTTCTGCACATCTGTTACATATATCACAAGTTCATTAACAGTGAACGCAAGGAAGGCATCACTACTTAGAAATTTCACAGACATCCTGCTCCACTCACATTCACCCAAGCGAGACTGACGCCCCACTTTGGGAGTACTTTGGCTTTGAAATGTAGTTCAGAATCTTCTGAATTAACTAGCATCCTTCCCCTTTGTGCAGGGGCTACATGGGGGGGCTGTCCATTGTTGGGAGTTGAAAGGCCACAGTTCAGCAGCTCCAATGGAGAATTTGACATCGCCAGCACCTTAAGAATACCTTTGGCGAAGAGCTGCTCTAATAAGCCAACAGCTAGTGGAGCTTCCCAGTGAGCCTCTTGTGAGCACGAGGGCTGAGGACTGGAGTCCGGTGGGCTGTGGCTCTGGCGAACCAGCATGCAGGGCCACCAGCTTCCTGCAGTCACGCTCTCTGCTGCCAACAGTACTTCCTCTACCCGAGCTCCTAATGGCTGGGATCATCCAGGGCCGCTTCCAAGTCTTTTCTTGCAGCAGGAGTTGCAGTTCCTTAGGGAGCCTGTGGACTGCAGCTTTCCAAGGCCAGGAGAGAGGGCCAGCACAGCGGTGTGTGGGCAGTACTACAGTGAGGAAAACGGGGACCAGAGGACAAAGTGGGCACAGCCCAGCACCACGAGGAAAGGGGAAGGGGAAGGAAGGCACTGGGGTGGGCGCAGCCCGTTCCTCCACAGAAAGAAAACAGGACTGGAGCAAGTGTGCTGGGGCTCGTCAGGTTAGCGTGTCGCTGTGGTCGTCCCTCTTGTCCAGAGACGCCCGTCAGGCCTCCATGCTCTCTGATGCCCTCTGCTGCCTCCTCTGGTCCTTGCTGCGGTGCTTCTGGATTGCCCGCCAGATTCTGCACAGCACGCCGCCCCTGCAGGCAAGAAGGGCTTCTGGTCAGCAACAGCAGCGGTTATGACAAGGGTCTCGTGCGAAAGTTAAGCACTATCCTCCAACACCCTGGTAATAAAGACACTGGTGTCTTAAGATGCAAATACGAAAAAAGATAAATTATCTTGCAAATACTGCACAGGAGCTCGGGTTTCCTGCTGCAGTCCAAAGACATGCTGGTAGGTTTGGCTTCTGGGAAAACTGGCCCTGTGTGTGTCCTCTGATACACTGGTGTCCTGTCCAGGGTGTACCCCGCCTTGCACCCATTGCTTGCTGGGACAGGCTCCTGCCCCCCCACAAACCTGAATTGGATGGACGGATTATTGCACAGTATAAACTGATCAATCAGGGGTTATAAAATAAATGGCTACTGAATATTTCCATTCATAATAACTGAAGTAGTAATAAAAACAATTGCAAAGGGAGGATCCCCAAATGGGTGTCTGCAGGACATTGTAGTTCTGCATATAACACAATTAAGGCTGGTCGATGCAATAAAATCTTGAGGGTGGGGATGGTATTATTTCAAGTTATAGTGCTGATGGAAAAATTAAATTCTACTGCGCAAGAAAAAATTTCAGGTGTAGCATATGGAATGTGCACTTTTAAGATGGGGATTACTGCTGAATTAACACCATTTGGAGAAAAAAGGGCTTAAGTTAGTTTTTATTGCAACCTCCCGACGCATAAGAAAGCGTTCTTTACCGTAGCCTCAGGGAACGCAGGTCCTCCTTCGTCACGTCGTTGAGAACGTCGTTGAGTGTGTAGTCCTCCACGACAAACTGAAAGGGTATCAAGACAAAGGTGTCACCACCTTCAGAACCCAGGGTCATCTGGCTAACTTTGTTCTTGTTTTGGAATCTTCCAAAAATGTAAATACACCATGGTTATGTGGTTATCAAGTTAGGGCAAGAGTTGTTTTTTTTCTCGTGAAAGAGAACTCGTCTTGAACAGAAAACGCCATGAGGGGGGCCATGTTCAGAATCGTCAAAGTCACTGACAACGTCAACCCAGTCAGCACAGGGTACAGGCGGGCACTATGGGGAGGTGCATTTTAACTGAGAGTAGGAGGAGCTTCTAAACACAGTGAGCTATGGGGTGTGTGGAACAAGCGGCTCAGCCTTGTTGTTGAAGACAATGCCCTGGCTTCTTCCCAGAAACAGCTGGATGAGATCCTAGTGTCTTTAGGTCCCTAAAAAGCTAGATGGTCCAAAACACAGCACACTGCAGTGAGATCTTGGGGGGGATAATAAGTAAAAGCGAGATACAAGCAGACAGCGCAGTAAATGTGTGATACAGGCATGGAGAAGAATATTTTATAATGCAAAGCTGTTCCACTCTTACTGTGGTCAGCTTTCACAGGGGCCTCCCCTGAGCACTTACCTTCTCTATGGTGTCAGTGTCGGCTCCCTGCTCCTTCAGCCAGTCCGTCAGCTCCTTGTCCCCCTGCAGATCCGCCGGGATGTGAAATATGGAGGGGGTGGGGATGTCTGGACAAGCAAAAACAAACATGCCTCTTAAACCCCTGACTACTCTGCACAGACTGAGTGTGGCCGAAGCCGTGCTAAAGGACTTGCAATTTCTGTGCCAGCCAGTAAAATGCAACAGTAGACAAGAGTTTCTTGTGCTCCCCGGTAACTGACAAAGAAGCACAAGCTGTCAGATGTGTCCTCACACTCCACGAGGCTGCTGTTGTGTAGAAGTTTACAATGGGCAGATGGCTGCTGTTCATGAAACTAAACTATTGCAATAGGGAGTGTGTTCTTAATCACTAAATGTCACTATTTGAGAATTTCATGGATAGCATTCCAGACTTTCTGCCTTTATTTTACAATGCCATGCCTCCCTTTAAAAAGCAAAAGTGTCTGAAGTCAATTTTAAAGGTATGTCAGATAATGAAGACAGAAAAAGATTTAAGAGCTATGTATGCCACAAAGGATCAGAAAAGCACCTCTAGGAGATAATGCAGTTTCCTCTTTTTCTTCTCACCATGAATTGCTTAATGTGTGAAGAGAAGGAGGCTGATTTGCAGGATTAAGACAAGGGTGTACTGGGGCAGAAGGCTAGGTTCTGCATGTTATCGTTTGCAAACAGAAAACAAGAAACGAGTTCTTCCCAGGCACAGACACAGACTTCTCCCTGATAGAGCAGTCGAACCTGCACTCACCTATGGGCCTGGATCTGACCCTGATGAGCTCCAGGTCGTGTGCTCTCTGCTGGAGTGACTGTCTCAGGACCTGCTGGTACTCCTTCTCCTTCTGGACCAGATCCTCCAGCAGCCTGGTAGAGGTATAGCCCAGGTTACCGCTGACCTCAAGCCATCCCTAGCTGAGCCCTACACAGTGTGTTCAAGGCACTGCACAGACCCACAGCTTTCAACAGCTGTACAGCAGACTGCACAACTGTTGGCATGTGAACTTTGGCAATTCCATTAAGCAATCAAAGTTCAATTCGGTAATTAAAGTGATGTGCTGGATGAAAGAGAGATTATGAAATAGACCTGCCCCCGAGAGTCTCAGTCAGCACAGGTACAGAAGAGAAGTTTTAACACTGCACTGACTGAGACCCCCATCCACACATCTGGACTGCCAGACAGCTTGACACACACACACACGCACGCACGCACGCACGCACGCACGCACACACACACACATCTGGATTACCAGGCAGCCTCAGGCTCTGCCAGGGTGCTGTACCTGTTGGTGTCCTGTTTGAGTCTCCCCAGCTGTGAACCCAGGGGGTGCTGTGGGCGCTGGGATTCATGCGACAGCACGGAGCTGAGGGTGCTGACGCCCGAGGTGAGACCCTGGTCCTCAGGGGCCACAGGTTCCTCCCCCGCAAACTCCCCGTCCTCCACATCCACCTCGTCGGCGTCCTTGTCCACGCCCTCGCTCTCTGACGCTGGCCCGAAGTGCGTCTGCAGCTCTGGGGACACACAGGGACAGCAGAGGGCAGGTGGCAGGATCAGAGACGGACTCGGACTCAGACAGGGCTCCACTGGCAGCCTTGAAGATCAGCGAGCAGAGCCCTGGGAAGCACGTCCACGCACCCCTGTCCTACCAGCTGGATAGCTGTGCTCACTTTTACCCACAACAACAAAGTTGTAAGATTTTGCACAGGCTCAACTGGCCATCTCACAACGCTTTTTTTCTCTGGCTATAGCTGTTCATCACTTGTGGTGCCGCTAGATGTCACTACTGCTTCAGCTGGCACTGGCTGAATTAGGTAGTGGTATCGGGTATCACATCAGGAAATGCACATGAGAAAAAAAAACGGCTCACAGATACTCCTGTTTTTCCGAAGCACTCTAGTCCATTGCAGCTTTCCAATTGTAATTTCAAACAGCATACCAATGCATGAAACAATTTAAAAAACGGGAACAAATGTTAATTCTGAGGCCAGCAGAATTTCTAGTGAAAGAAATTCTGTATTTCTATAAATTAACGGTTCAAGGGCTAAGGTCTGATGCAATAAACTAATTCTGAGCTCATCTGGAAGAAAAACAACAACATATAGAGGAAGATGTGGCTTTCCAGGAACAGGACTCTACACTCCTGTTCTCAACTTATACTCCTCTGAACAGTGAAGGAAGACTGAGGTGTAATACACGGAGCATCCACCAGGGGGAGCACCCAACTGCACTCACAATGAGATAGGGAGAGAAGTGGAACGCACAGCAGAGGTCAGCTGGCAAGGAGAGACCAAGTCCAGTCACACTCTGACAGAAAAACAATGCAGTCTGCTCTGCAAGGCAACATGCCACCGAGACACTGACACCCTGGACACACATCACCACTGTAGAGCATAAAAATATGGCACCTGTCCCTCTACATCACCCTCTGTACAGATACTGCTTACATGACATTATACAACAGCTCTGCCCTCCCCTTTTGCATAGTTTACAGATGACTCAGTTGTTAATTCAGAATCCCAGCTCTCACCTCTGCTGCTGAGCACAGAGGGAAGAACCAGAGGATTCGCACAAGCATGGGTACAACTAAAAAACTGAAAGCACCACTTCACAGAAACAAAAGAAAAAGATATCTGTCTGTATTGTGGAGATGCCTGTTGAATTCATAATTGAATGGTCTAAGAAGCAAACTTGGGGCATCTGGAACAAACGTCCAGAGAAGGCAGAGAAAGACACCACCACTGCTACCTGGGTGCACTGGGCCTCATCTGGCACTGAACCTGTTCCAGACGATGATGTCACCACGGGCAGCGATCGTTCCCCTGCAGTGGGAGGCTCAGCCCTTTGGCGTAGGGGAATTCCCTGCTGCTTGGGGAGGGGGGGGCGGCACTGTGAGGTTCTGAGGTCAGAGCAGGCCGAGAGCAGCCGAATCCCACTCCTCACCCTCACACGTTTACTAGCGGAGGGGTGTAGGACTGGACTGAAAGGCCTGAGCCAGCGAGCGGGAACAGCGCAGGTGGGGCGGGACAGCCCACCTGGGATGAGGATGGTGACGGCGGCCTGGACGGCCCTGCGGATGATGTTGTCCATAGCGAACATCCAGTGGGGCTTGATGTGATGGTTTCTCAGGACCTTGTTAACCTGTCAAAAACAAAAGTAGGACCTGTAATGTAGGTGTCACAACGGGCTGGGAGCACAAAGAGTCAGAGAGTAGAGAAAAACACAGAGCATGGCAGGAAGGAAGCATCCTTACTGCTGCCCAGATTCTGTTCTCCGCTAATTTCTTTACAAAACATCGGACATGACTAAACATGTAAGGGCTTCTGTCGAAAGGCAGATTGGACACAGCAGTCTCTAGCAGATGGGTTATTCCAAATAATGAATAAAATCCACAATTTGGACAGGAAATTGGAATCGTACGCTGTATATTAAAAAGCCTGAATGAGCAAGACTCTCAACAGATGCTGCCGGGCTGATGAATGCCTTCCTGCCGCTCGGCTGGGCTGGGCCAGAGCATCCCTCCCCCACCCGCAGGGTCCCTTACCGCGTCCTGGAAGCCAAAGAGCACCAGCTGGATCTGGTTGATGGAGGTGCTGTCGAAGTCCAGGTCCAGCTTGAGCTTGGATATCGTGGTCGCCATGACGCGGCGCTCTGGAGAGCGGATGAAGTCGCGCAGGATGCAGATGATCTGCTTGATGTGATCGATCGACAGCTTCAGCTCCTCGCTGCCCTGTGCAGACACAATTTAAAAATTGAGAAGACGGAAATACAATTTATAACTCGTTTTCAGTTTTGCAACACAAGAGCCTACAGGACTGGCGAGTACATTATCCAGTCCACTGCACTGCAAGGTTCAGGCTCAAGGAAATCTTTAATTACTTAATATAATTCTTTGTGTGTTAATGAAGTAATTTAAGAGCTGGCTGTGCCACGTGTCCTCTTTGGTAAAAACTCCGGACCTTTCTGTGCTGGTTTACACTCTACACATCACAGCCAGTCATCTGGAACACTTCCACAACAAAAGCTTTATCGATTGATTTAATAGTACAATGCAGCAATTATAGGAACCATATACAACACATTCCTGCAGAGCTCACAACCAAGTGGCATTTACTGATTTCTGACTTTCCAGCAGCATTCAAACTGGAGAATAGGTGAACACACACCTTATTAAAGAATATCTAAGTAGCTGGCAAACCCCAGTTCTCACTGACCCTCAAACTACCTCACCTACACTTACATGAGACTAACCCACGGGCTCTGTGAAGGCACGGTTAAGAGCTCAGGATGGAGAAAAATGCAGAGGGACCGCAGAGGAGCAGGGTCACGCACCCCTGGCCTACAGAGGGCTAACCGGGTGGACAGCAAGGGGCTCGTACCTGGATGTGGTTCTCCATGAGGTTGGAGACCACCTTGTCCTGGTCTTCATTCAGGACCTTGTACAGGATGGCCCGCCGTTCGCTGTCCTTCTTCAGCAGGAACAGCCCCGCATCCCGGTCCTCCGGGGAGGGAGGGGCACTGCGGTCTTCGGACACGGAGCTCTCGTCCGGGACGCTGCAGGACAGGACGGAGGGGGAGCAGGAAGTGGAGAGGGGAGGTTTGTGTTGTACTTGCACGGAAAAAAGATCTGGCAAGTTCTGAGGGATGAGTCTTGCCCGGGGTTGTGATCTTCGGTTGGAGCTGCCCCTCCGTACAGGAGAACACAGGGGACGGGGGCTTCAAACAACTTTTGGAGAGTCTGCTGCATCCACTTAGTGAAATTTAGGGTTCAAAGGAAAAAGCATGGATCTAGCCTGGGCCAGTGAGTCTGTGCCTGATGCACAGGCCCAGTGTCCGCTGGCTGAAACCCCAAAGCCACTCCACAGCCTTTGACATTCCTGAGTTTCCTGGCTTTTGGGCCAATCAGCTCCGCTAGCCAGACAAAAGCCCCAAAGCCAATTTGTATCATAAACCAATTAAAAGATCTTTTTTATGACCTGATCCACTTAAAAGACATGAAGCGGGATGCCTTGCCTTGAGCGGCGTGTCGTAAAACGCATTATTAAATTAGGGACAGGCCCAGTGAACAGTGCATTAGACAAAAATGAATGGTCTGTAATTGTCCCTGCTACTCAAACACCCATTTGAACGGGCAGGATCAAGCCAGCGCCTGGTAACCCAGGACTCTCAGTGCACCTGATTTCCTCTGACAGCTTCCAGCCAAGGCTTCACGCAACAAGCCCCTTGCAGGATCTGGTCCCAGTGTGGCAGTCTCCTTGGTGCCGCCCCGGGCTCCGGCTCACCTGAGGAAGTTGGAGCTGGGCGGCTTGATGAGGTTCTCGGAGCTGGAGCGCTTCTTCTTCTCGAAGAAGACGTCGTGCTTGGCGTCGCAGTCGGGCGAGACGGAGCCGTGCTCGCTGCTGCTGCTGCCGCCGCCCGCGCTCTCCCCCTGCATCTGCACGGGCAGCGACACGCTGCGGATGTAGTCTGCGGACACACGCCACAACCCCCCCCCGGCTCACTCTCCGCGCACTGGGACTCCAGCTCCCCTAGCTCTGCTCCAGGGACTCCTCTCCTTACGGCTGCGTTCGTTTCAGCACGTCAAACCCCGTGCTGCTGCCCCCCAGGCCTTGGTGGGGTTTTGGTTATCATTTTAGCGGTCTTTGTCAGGTGGAGCTTGGGAGGACAGCTCACTATTTACAAAGAACTTGTTTTCTCAATTCAGATGTCAGCACCAGTAACGGTAAAGGTCAGTGATTATGGACGACTTGCTGAAGCAAATCTGCAGCACTTTATCATGTGTCAATATTTTCTCAACAACTGGTAACAGAAAGCTTTGCAATTATCTGTCATGCACTTTCTAACATAACACACCCATGGCAGCTTGGAATTCATGTGTCCTGACGCAGTAAGGACTTTTCTAGTCATGTTATTTTTAAGTGCAAATTAGCTCAACATCACAGTTTCACTCTGGCGGCAGCAAAGCCTCAGTGAAATGCAGAGGAAGAGCTGGCAACACATCCCATTGAGTCACGCACACAGGAAGGGGCTGGAAGGACAGCAGGAGCAGCACAGCAGAGGCCAAACCACAACGACAGTGGGAAACCATTTTTTTTAAAAGGATATGTCAGGAAAGGATGGACAGCGTAGTAGACAGGGAGAGAGGAGGGGTCATGAGAATTAGCACGAACCTTGCCACACTGTTAGACAGCACATCCCAGCAGAGCGCCCCGGGCAGGCCCGTATGTGTGGAGAAAAAGGGACAGTCTCGTTAAGATCGAGATCGGGAAACTGACCCAACGCATTTCTGCACGCGAGCAGCCGCAGCCCCTCTCCCTGGGTTCTCGAGCTCAGAACCAGGCAGGCGGAGCTGGACTTCAGAACCCAGAGGGGTTCTGACCAAGCTTCATTTTGCTTCCATTGGAGTAAAGCCTGCTGGACAGAGTTTCATTTTGTATTTTGTTTTGTAAAAGACAGTACAGGAACATGCAGCGGAAGAATTTGTTTTTGCATTTCTTCGTGTTTTTGAATATTGCTGGACAGACAGTAATCCTCCCTCTCGCTGCCTTTGGATACACGATCAGCTGTACCCAGGACCCAACTCCCCATCTCGCCTGGACTCTCTGTCTGCATACTGGCAAGATGACAGCCAGGAGGGGCACCTGGCGTTCAACCTGCCCTGGCGTCCCACCCTGCAGGTGTGTCTGCCAGTCACTAATAGGTCAGGTCACTGCTTTATCCAGTCTGGCAAAGGATTGATCAAACCTGAAAACACATTAGTGTTTAACTTACTCTTTCTATTGAGTCTAATTAACATATCCAGTGTCTAGAAAGACCCCTTTTAAAGCAGCCACCATTTAATATGCGTTAGCAGCAGGGTTAAATAGCCACAATCCTGTCACAGGCCCCCTGTATCACAAGCACTCCGTGGTCTGTCCCACCTAGTCCTTGCACCATGACGCCCAAATGTCTGTCCTTTCGCTGCAAAGTTGATTAATGAGCTGCTCAGTCTGAGATGAATGTTCTCTACAGTTCTATTAATGTTTTTGTCCCAGCTGGATAGAGAATTTGGTAAATCGGGATTCTTAACATCATTGCAAAACAATGCAGATGGTGAAAACCATCTCTTGCTGCATGACATCGGAGGTGCAAGGCTCGGGTGAAGCAGACTGCAGGAGATGAGAGATGAAGATGAGGAGGAGGGTGGTTTGCCTGAGGGTTTGAAGGCGATCTTGTTCTTCTTGCCCTTGACGTTGTGCCGCACAAAGGAGTCCTTGAGCAAGTCGGTGGCCGTGGCCCGCTTGTTGGGGTCGGGTTCGAAGCAGCGCAGGATGAAAGACTTGGCTTCGACCGAGAGGGACTCTGGGATCTCTGGATGGATCTTAAACATCCCCACCTGCAACACAAGACATGGTGGGGCGCCACACCTCAATGGTACAAGAAGAGATACAGTCAGGGACTCTACAAAAGTCCCAGGGGAATCGGAAACAATCACGTCTGTAATAACCCCATAACCTCCAGAGAGGATCCATTGGAAAAAGCATCATTTTCCAATGCAGTTAGCATCAAACTGCAACAGATTGTCTTTCTCTCCAACAAAAAAAATATTGCACAGCTGTTACAGTTTTGCACATCTGCTGTGGAATGGACATCACACCTCTGCTGAAGCACTCAGTTGTTGAGCACGTGAACAGCAGGTAGCCATGAATAATAATCTAAAACGTTCCAGAAAGAAAGCACTTCATCCATCAAGTCCCCTCTCCCCTAGATTCCAGGATCCCATCGCCCAGTCTCCCAGTGTCCCAGTCTCCCACAGGGCTCTCTGACCTTGAACATGGCAGCCTGTGGCTCACCCAGCTCGTGGAAGGGCGGTTTGCCCGTGGCCATCTCGATGATGGTGCAGCCCAAAGACCAGATATCGGCCGGGGCTCCGTACCCCCGGGGACCCTTGTCGATGATCTCGGGGGCCATGTACTGCAGCGTGCCTGGGGAAGGACAGAGAGACGCAGCTCGGATCAGTGGGAACGGACAGTGGCGCAGCCGGAGACATGGGGGCGCTGATGGTCAGCCACACAGACAAAGCCCCGACGTTTTTCCAGAGCCCAGCGATAAAACACCCCGGATGCTCAAGGCAGAGAACTGGAAAACCAGAAACAAGGCTGCTTTGAAGAACGCCCCCATGGGAGTCGTGGCTGCATCTGAAAACGTCCCGAGCTCTTGGAGTCAGCCGCAGCGCAGTGACAGAAGCAGGACCAGGCGCTAATCTATAGAAAGACGGCTTAACAGCTGAGGGACCATCTGGCTTTATGTTTGCTGGTTAGAAACACACTCAACGCCAAGCTTGGGGAAGCATCATTAATATTATCAGCAGCTCTGAACGGCTGCTGCACAGGCAAATGTAATTTAGAAGCACTGGGGGGAGGGGTTAATAATGTCGGCGGGGTATTATAGCATCACAACAGAGCCGACCCATCACACCCATCCACCACCGCGGCCTCCTGCACAGGAGAGGCAGAAGCCAGCAGGAACGTGACCCCTCCTCTGGTCGGCGGTAAAGAGCTGCCGAGGCCCTGTCTGTCCCTCACGCGCGATCCCCACAGGGCTGACCACGGGCCCTCACCAGTGAAGGTCTCGGTGCAGGGGTTCACTCCAGCCAGTCGCTTGGAGGTCCCGAAATCGGAGATCTTCAGCACCCCGCTGTACGTGTTCACAAGCACATTGTCCCCCTGCGGACGGACAGACAGACAGACAGAGAGAGAGAGGGCACTCCCTGGTCAGCCTGATCTTCACAGCTGCTGTTTTTGGGATTCGTACGTATCCATTCAGTTTTACCCAAGGCGATTTAAAAGAGCTCATACGTAACAAGGGATTTATGCAGAACCAGAGTAACTTACACGGTGCAGGACGAACTACATACATTTAAATTAAATAAATAAAGAGGTGTCCGACAGGTGTTGCCCATGGTGAAGCTGTGGAGCCCACAACGCGCAAAGCAGCTGTGAGGCGCAAGAACTCCAGGAGACAAGCTCAACAGGAGAGCCACAGCTTCACCAGCAGACTAGAAAACGGGCTTCAGATAATGATGAAGGAGAACACAGGGTACAGAGGCACTATCGAGGTGCCTTGAGGGGCTGAGAAGTCACAGATCTGGGAAGAGGATCACTCAGATGCCTACTGTCTGAGACTGGTCAAATTTTCAAAATCAAAGCAGATGCCTTTCGTTCCTCCATTTCTGACTCAGGTGTGAGGGATTTTCTACTGGGGGCAAATTGGATCTTACGGAGGAGTGCAGCTTATAACTGTGCCACTTAGCTGCTCGTTGCTATCCGTGGAATTGGGCATGGCGCCGCCTTCCCTCCCCAGCAGGATGTCGTGGCGGGAGTCACCTTGATGTCGCGATGGACGATCTGGTTCTCGTGGAGATAGCGCAGCCCCTCCAGGATCTGCCGGGTGTAGAATATTATGGTCGCCTCCTTCAGGGGCCCCCACTTGGAGCGCAGCAGGGCGGACAGGCTTCCTGGTGAGCGGACACAACCACAGTGACCCCTGCTGGCGAGCCGAGGGAGAGCGCCCTGGGGCAGCGGGCGGGGGGGAGGGGGGGAGAGAGAGGAAGAGACGCGCACACACCTCCAGGGACCTGCTCCATGAAGATCTTGATGTAGCCGTCCTCGGACACCGAACCCAGGTACTGCACGATGTTCCTGTGCTTCAGGTACTTGTGCAGGGCGATTTCCTCGTGGAGGGGCTGTGAGTATCTGAAACCAAGAACAGCGAAACAAAAAGCTAAATAAAACCAGCTGCAAGCGCAAACCACAGAAACTACATGTACTATCAGCGTGTATTCATGAGCAGTTTACCAATATACCAAAATGTGACCACAAACTGGACTGTTCTCTGCATCTTTCCCAACAAGCTACTCTTTGTCGGAGGCAAAACCGCATCACCAGCAGATCTTATTTTCCTGGCGAGTGTTTATGATGTCACCACACGGGACAGTGGGGTACGCATGAGGGTCGTGCCCTAAGATAGCAGCACGCTCACCTGCTGTCTCTCTCAGGTATCTCCTTGATTGCGATGCGCACCTGGTTGCTCAGGTCCCTCCCAGCGTACACCACTCCGTAGGTGCCGCGGCCCAGGACCACCCTGTCCCCGTTCTCGTTGTAGTCGTACTCGTACTGAAACGCATAAAACACGCAGACACGCACGTCGGACACGTCAGAACCCAGCCTCCAGCAAAGAAAGCCGGAGTCATTCCTATTTTCGGAAAGAGACAGAATCTCACACCTCTCACGTGCGCGAGAAGTTAGAAGACGATGCTGCACTCAAATCAGATAATCATGAAATTGTATTATGGCTGTCATACGCGGGGTTGTGCTGACCCAGCTATTGTCAATAGCCATGACAATAGCATTTATTAGCAAACCCAAAATCCAATCTTCACTACGTGTGAGGTTAGCAACAGCCCATCCTTGGTGACAAAAAGGCAAAGCAAGTCACAAAAGCATTTTGAATAACAGAAAGAAGCTTCTGATTTTCCTCAGTCAGCAAAAAGAATCATGGGATTAAAAAAACGTGACTCGGCCTAGGAAGACACCGTGATAAAGCGGTACAGCGGTAAAGCAACGGTATCGGGTTTGCACCGGCGAGCAGGAGAAACAGTGCGGGACTCCTGCCGTGGAGAGGGAGCTGGATTCACAGACTGCTCTGCAGAAGACACGGCGATGGCGTCGGCTGTACCTCCAGGGTGTCTCCGTCCGCCTCGCCCTCCAGCTCCACCGCGTTCCCAGATCCGTCGGAGATGACCTCCTTCACCATGGAGCAGAACCTAACCACAAACACCGGATTTTCACGGGCCATGATTCTACCGCGCTCTCTTCTGTGCATGGACTCGGCTATTTCTACAGTTTCTATCACACACACACAGCCTGGTCCCCCTGTGTCCCAGTTCCCTACTGGACTATTCTGTGCTTTTATTGGATTACGCCTTGGTTAACCTTTGTAAGGGCACGCAGGCAACAGATCACCTCCAGCCCCTGCTTTCCTGTTCTTTAATCCCCTGCCCCCGGTTCTGCCTGCGCGAGGAGCGAAGACGTCCCCGGTTCTCGCCCGCCAGCAGACGAGCCCCGGCCCTCACCTGCCGCACTGGTCCTCCGTGGAGAAGTAGATCTGGAAGTCGTCTGAGTTGTCGTGCACATACAGGAAGCAGCAGCGCTCGTCGAACTTGGAAATGCTGAAGCACAGAAAAGCGAGGCAAAAGTGAGATCAGCTCTGCAGAACTCCGACCCTGCAGGGCTACAGTTCCACAGACTTTTATTGCACCTGAGATCCTGCACAGCCTGCCCGACAACTGGCACTAATAACTGGCTTAAGCAGACAGATTTAACCATTTACAGCTAAATCTGTAAGGTGCTGGTGGCTTAAGTAGATTTCCTCAATTCTGCATCACCTTCAGAATTGATTGAACGGAAAGACTTTCAGTCTAGGATGGGACATTCATGTCCCTGAAATCTGCCATTTTCCTCTGATTCCTGATTCTATTACACTGTCACGATGACTTTAGACAGATTCTGCTCTCATCACGCTCTGAAATGTGGCAAGGCTACCAATTTGAATGGTTTATTGCTGTCTGTGAAAACGCAAGTACAGTACAGTACTTTCATGGAATGCGGTACAGACAACAGAAACTCGATTTTAAAAGGACTCTGAAAGATCTTGAGACTTGTCGCAGTGAAATCTCTTTGAAGAAACATTAAGGGGTGCAATTCAAGAGTACACACAATATGTGGGCTGACGTGTGTGAGAACTGAGGTTCCCATGGAGAGGAAGTCTGATATTTGAAAAGCAGACACAGAGCAGTGGTGTCCCACACAGTCCCCAGCTGTATAGTGTCTGCTGTCCTCCACTTCTGCTAGCTCCTCCTCCCCTGTCTAACCTGGGGAGATCACCTGCAAGCATTCAAGGTGCAGGCAGCCCCAGGGGGTAACAAAGAACCTTCTGTTTTTGAAGCAAATCAAGGGCATTTATTTACAAATAGTAAAAGCGAAAAATATATCATGTTGTGACAACTGATCCATGAATTTCATACAGAAAGGTAAGAGGCGAACCTTCGACTCACAGAAAACGTAGTGGAGATACAATTTTAGAATTAACTTGCTGGGATAGGTTCTGGCTCTCCTGCAACGCTGTACTGGATGAAGTGGTTAGAAAATGGATGGAATGTCATACTGTTTAATTTAATTTAACCCAGAACTGGGGCGTGCGTGGGTAGGAGAGCTCACTGATCTCTCTTGGCAAAAGCAGGAAGGACGCTTGAAAGGGAACAGAGAGAAATCTCGCTCCGGCATAACCAACCTGATCCCCTTGATCGACGCGGCTGTGAAATTCCACTCGTGGATTCCTTTCTAGAAAAACACACAAAACAAAAAACGCAGGCGATTACCGCCGGCTCTTTCAACCGCTCTGTGGCAGAGCAGGGGTGGAGCCGGGGAGCCCTGTACCGTGTCCGCGGGGGAGACGTGCCAGATGGAGACGTTCTTCTCCTCCGCCTCGCTGTTGATGCAGACATACGAGGGCTGGTAGATCTTGGTGGGCTCCAGGATCAGCACCTGACATACACAAGGTGAGGACAGGTGAGCACAGGTGAGGGCAGGATAGGACACATGAGCACAGGTGAGGACAGGATAGGACACATGAGCACAGGTGAGGACAGGCGAGGGCAGATGAGGACAGGTGAGTATAGATGAGGACACGGAAGGGCAGGTGAGTAAAGCCAGGTGCAAAAAGTGAAAAAATATAACAGGAAAAGTTTTAAAAAACAATCAATTCTGTCATGAAAGAAATAAATATGTATTTTATTGGTGCACTTCTGTGTCTAAAAATAGTGGCATGTAGACCATGTAGACTATTATGCATTAACTGCCTATTAACAAAGTCAAGTACAGTACTATCATGTAATAATGTTGAGGATTATTCACTGTGGACCAGAGTGCGAGCTTCCAGTACTCGGGATAAGCAGACATCAGTCGGAGCCGGGCAGGAACCCGGCACGCGGCGCCCGAGCCGTACCGGGAAGCGCAGGCCGTTGGTGGTCTCTCGTGTGGCCTCCACGATGATGTCCATCCAGAAGTTGAGCCTCTCTCTCTGGGGCGAGTGCTCCAGGTTCTGTTTCTTGAACCGCTGGATGAGCTGCAGGTTCTGAACCACCGAGCGCAGGTACCTGCCCCGACAGACACAGAGAGAGTCAGACAGGATGACACTTCTTTGTACACTTCCTTACACAAGGGATTGTGGGATTGCAGGACCCACAAGAAACAGCTGTATGAGACTCTGGGACCCACTGTCTACTAACAACTCAAAAGGACCAATGGGCCTCTCGTTTGTAACCATTCTTCTGTTCTTAATGACCTGGTAGGTTCACAATGGTTGACTCGACCTTTGGCTTTCCTTGGACAGATGCTTGTGCACCACACAAAGCCACACCCAGAGGCCTCAGTTCCTACCAGACGGGAGGCTTCAGTTTGAAGAGCTTCTCAGCGGCCTGCACAGCCTTGGGGATGTCGTTGGCCAGCATGCTGACGGTGAAGAACTGCCCCACGTCCCAGTAGTTGTTCATCTTCTCCAGGCTGCCCTTACGGCCCAGAAGGCTGTTCAGCCGCACACCTGGGAAGGCAGCAGAGAGACGGGAGTGGGGAACCAATGGGTGGGCGCCCTGACTCCAACACGCCACCGCCACCTTCTGGGTAAAAAACACAGGCCTCCCTCTTTCTCTGTGTCCGCCTCCTCCCTCCCACCTGCTTGAACACTCGTTGTCCAGTTTTCCCTCACCTTGTCTGACTCTCGTGATGACGCTCACCATGCAGAACAGACTTCTGACTTACCTGACTACGACCAAGAGCCAGGGACATGCTGCGGCCCGAGAGAAAACCATGAAAGTGCATGTACATTTAAACATCACTTAGCATTCTTCTTTCATGGTGTTCATACCGACTGGGCTGGAACAGTGGTTCCCAGTCCTGGTCCTGGTGACACCTGCTGGTTTTCATTTTTGCCCACCTTCATGGGATCATTGAAGCCTCACTGGATCTAAGAAGTTGCTTCAATTGAATATTTGCGCTTTGTTCCTAGTCACACATATGGGATTTTATTTCACAAAGGCTGAAGCTCCGACATGCCTACATGGACCAAACGGCCTCCACTCATTTTGTAACTTTTCTTATGTTCTTATGGAAATCAAATCCTTCTGAAGGAGCCGTATGCTGCCAGCTCACCTATTTTCCGCAGCTCAATGGAGCTCTCAAACTGCTGTCCAGCAACAATCAGTAAGACGGCCAGGTTGATGCCCGAGTACAAGGTAGGCTGAAGCTCGAATCCCTTCCGGTACCTGCAGGGAACAACAGTATCCTCACTGAAGGACCCCTGAGTCGGCCTTTTGACTTTTTCAATAGTGGAACAAGAGAATATAGCGTATAGAATTATGCGTGTGTGTTTTTAATCCTGCCGTTATACCAATCTGAAATCTGTGAGAAAGGGAGGGTTCAGGAAGACAGCCTTCCTGAAGAATAACACTTACAAAAACAAAACAATTGGAACAGAAAGGCAGAAAAAACAACACCACCGAGAGCCAATCTGGGGCAACGGTCTGGAAGACTGGAAAGTGCCTGACGGTAGAGGGCTATGACCAGGGCCAGTCTGGTGACCGGGACGTCACCGTGAAAACGGCTCTGCACTTCAAGGAGCCACAGATTCTTAACAAGTGTTTAAAGGTCGAAAAACATCTGACAATATAATCACATACTAGATTAGGTCAAGGGGCAGGATCCCACTTAAAACCATTACTTCAACGCTTATGCCGAAGGCAATCAAACACTTTAAGGTCTTTGACACAGCCAGATCCTCAGTTATATACTGTAAATCTGAAGAGTCGTCGACTCGTCAGATAAAAAGCAGCTGAATGGGGAGAGAGGAAGCCCTTGCTCATTAACACGCCCCTCTGGGCAGCAGCAGAGCCGCACTGATGCTGGGACGCCGCGCGGTGTTGAGGGGGACCGCGGTTACCACTGGATGGCGTTGTCCCGGTTCTTGGTGTCCTTGCAGTCGCTGTCCAGGAAGATGTCCTTGTAGATCCGCCCGCACAGGCAGAACATGTCCGGCGCCGGGTGATCGCAGGACTGCAGCACCTGCAGCATCACCCTGAGAGCCTGCTCTCGGTCCCCGGGGCTGTTCCTCCTGGCACGGGCACACACAGTGGCGTTACGGGCGTTAATCTCGGCGGTGCACTGGCACCAGCCTTCTCCCGGGTCAGCGTGTCCACACACGCGTCTCGCGTGAAGAACACAAAGATGTTAGACTTTAATTATCCCGTTATTCTCTCTTTAAACACCTTTGGAACTGGCGCCCCATACTTCTCAGTCTCCTGTAAATAATTTAAGCACCTGCAGTCATGGTTTGTAAGAGTTATGTAACATAAGAGTTATTTCTTTACTTTCCAATAAAAAAACTGGCTTGATTATGGGGTACCAAGACATTACTGCAACTCAGCTGTGTAAATCCTCTCAGCTCCTTTCCGCTGCTGTTTGCTTTAAGGTCATCTGCATAAGTGCATTCAAAATGCCTGTGAAGGATGGAGGTCGCTATTTGTTCAGAAGCACTTAATGGGGGCTCTCCGTGATGGCAGGCCACCGGTTTCAGCCGCCTGTGTTTGCACAGCTCGCTCCCTCGTCTAGACAAACAGGAAGGCGCAGTTCGTGCCCCCTGCTGCTCCCTGGCTGTCACCTGCTGCCGCGGCCTCGCCGCAGTGCACCGCCACACGCTGCCAGCTCCCCCCGCAGAGCCATGCCCAGCGCTGGCCGGGGAACAGGACACAGGAGAGGGGCGTCTCCCCTTACTGCTCACCGGGACCGCCAGCTGTTTGCCATGTATGAACAGTCAGGGTTTTTTTTTTTTTTTTGCACCGCCTGGTTTTGGAAAAAAAGTCTCACAGTGTCTTGATACGGTACACGTTTAAAAATAAAAACAGTTTTATGGGTATTGCAATAATGTAGCAAGTCACATTTGAGCCGCTGTTAAAGTCATTAACTCCCTGACACATCATCTGCTTCCCCAAACCTCCAGGAGTCAGAACTGAGCTGGAACAGCCTACAGACCCTGACCATTATCAGTCGAGAGTGGAGGAGTGAAGTTAAGGGTGACTGATGCCTGTGGAGAGGCAGGAGGGAAACCACAGTTCAGAAGAACACAGAGTCCGTCTAGGGGCTGTGTCAAAGGTACTGTAGTGACCATGTCAACCCAGTTCAACAGTCCAACAACCCAGCAGTTCAACAGCGACCCGGGCTCACAAGTGAAGAATCAGCTGCCTGCAAATTGGGATCCCCTGGAACAAGGAAATGCGAGGAGGCTTGCGGACCTGGGCAAGACAAGTCCAACAGGAAAACAGACAAACGGGACCCGAAGAAAAAAAACAAAGCCCAGCTGTCTGAGATGCCAGAATAGGTGTGAATGCTTCCCTGGAGCTGGGCCACAGACAGAATTAAAGCACAAATTAAGAATAAAGTGGAGTCAGAGCAGCGTGCAACTGCTAACGACAGCTGTGGACATCGTTCAGACAGAGGATCAGCACACGAGCGGGCTGGGGCTGGCCAGCGCACAACGGTGATATTTTAGAACAACCTTCCTGATATTTCTCTGCATAGCTTTAATCTTTGAGGAAAGAGTTCACAGGGGATTCTGCGTGAGTTTCCAGGCGCCGCTTGTGCACAGTATCCACATTAAAGAGAGGAGACGAACCCCCCCTGAAAAAAACGTAAGAGAAACTCCACAAAGACTGACTGAGTGGTGGGGGTATCACGCAACAAGGTATCAAGGCATCATGCAATCCTAATAAATCAAATGAGCCCTGACTCTGAATTCAATCTGGAGATACAGAACAGCAAGGCCGGCTGAGAAAACATGGGATGAGGATCCGTGTTTTTTTTTTTCTCCTGATTTAAGAGGTCAAGCCTCGCATAGGCAGTCATAAAACATACCCCTGTCAAAAACAAATTAATTCCACAGTGGTGCAGATAGGCAGGGGAAACGAACAACTGAAAGACGCACTCAAGGCCAATTCATAGAGAAGAAGCTAAGAATGATGAGCTCAGCAGTGAAGCCTGAAGGACTGCACTGCAGCACGCAAACACAACCTTTGATAAGGGCTGACAGTTGCACAGAGACGCCTCTCAAACCCACTTGATCAGGATGAACACAGCTGTGTAAAGCATGAATTACACATAAGAGTGTATAAAAGGAAGAAATATGAATGAAACTGCTTCAGCTACTGCAGTTTCCTCCCGATTGCTTAAGTGAGCTTTTGCGCAATACACTGCAAAAAAATAAAGGAACATAACTTAGGCCATCTTAAAAAGAGAAGGAAAGGATGGAATCAAAAGTGAAATGTTCTCTCACTTGCGGTCATCAACAAGCACAGCCGCACTGTGTTTTTAAAGTTGGTGAGCACACCCGCCTCCCTGACTCCCTGACTCCCCCAGACCTGACACTCTTGAGATAACAAATTAAACTGCAGAACACACCCCTTCATGTTCATGACTCCACAGAAGCGCACATGGCATGTCATGACACGTCCCATTACATGCCCTGGAGCTCGTTTTCATTCAAAATGTGGTAGACCTTTTTATATTAATTAAATATTAAATATTAAATTAAATTATTTTATATAGCGCCTTTAAAGGTGGCTTCTCAAAGCGCTTAACAGAATGACAGAAACAATAAATAAAAAGAATACACAAGATAAAACACAATTAAAATATACAGAGGAGACTGTGGATGGTGGTACTAAGAAAAGCAGAGGGGTGAAGAATGGAACCAGTTAAGTAAAGGCTTTTCTAAAGAAGAGGGTTTTGAGTCTGGATTTGAAGGAGTTTAGAGAAGGTGACTCCTTGGGGAGAGAGTTCCAATTTACATACAATGTAGACGGGCTTGGGGGACAATGAGGAGACCAGAATTAGAAGAGCGAAGGTTGCGAGGTGGGGAGTAGGGGGATAGTAGTTCAGACAGGTACTGAGGTGCCAAGGCATGCAGAGCCTTGTAGGTGAGCATGAGGATTTTAAAATCCACACGGAATTTGACCGGAAGCCAGTGCAAGGGCTCCAGGATAGGATTAATGTGATCATTTGCACTAGACCTGGTCAGGATTCTGGCTGCTGAGTTTTGGACATACTGCAGTTTGTTCAGAGTAGATTTAGATACCCCAGCGAGTAGAGCATTGCAGTAGTCAATTCGAGAGAACACAAATGTGTTGATCAGCTTTTCAGCCACAGTCAGTGATAGCATAGGGCGTAGTCTAGCGATATTTCTGAGGTGAAAAAAAGATCTGAGATCAAGAGAACCAGAATCAGAAGCTATTAGAGGATCATTAGTGACTTTGACCAGGGCAGTTTCCGTGCTATGAAGTTTGGAGGGGTTCGAAAAGGTTGTTTGTCATGAAGTGGTTATGTAACTGAAGTGTGACAGCACGTTCTAGAATTTTTGCAAGTAAGAATTTTGCAAGAATTTATGTTTTCAATTATGCAGTCTGCGTTGGCAGAAAATGCCCCGCGTGCCACAAGCGCACAGAATTTCATTGCACGGTGACAGCATTAGCTGGATGCCAGCGATTAAGGCACAAATATCCCACAGCATCATCACAGTGTGCAGTGTGTCAGAGCAGAAAGATGGTCTGGGATGAGCTCACTGGTGATGCATTAAAGAGGCTTGGCTTGGACCACAATAAACAGGATGAGACTGCATGGCTCTTCCACGGCAGCTTGACTCAATAGTTGAGTTGTGAAATGTTTTTTTTTTAAAAGAAGAAGTGTGTACGTGCACGGCGGGCTCAGGCAGTTTAGCCAGAGAGCAGAGAGCTCTGCCCCCGCCTGCCGAGCGCTGAGGACGGACAGGCTGGGGGCGGCTGCAGGAGTTACCTGTTGAGAGCGAATGCATAGTGGAACTGGATCATGGGCTGGTTGGCCAGGTCACAGGTGGGCAGCATCTCCAGGGTCTCCACCAGCTTCACCATGGCGTCGTAGTCCTGGGGTCATGCCCGCCGCCAGTCACGCGACACACGGACAGGAGCAGGGGAGGAGCAGTGCGGGAGGGGGGGAGACAGCTCAGATTAGAAGGCATGGGAACCACATCTCGCCCCTTCCCATGCAAGTTGGACTGCAGGTCAACCGGCGTCTCACACGTCTGAGTCGCTAAAACGCCCTGTAATTTATTTGCTTGATGTGGAGGTGGGTTGTGTCACGGACCAGCACCAGAACAGATGGGAAGTCCTGGGGTTTGGGCTTGAACGATAACGAAATGGGCAAACTGATACAAAACCTTTGCTGCTCAGTGTGACGATAAGAGACCTCCTTGCCAAACAGAACACAATTATATACATCTGTGAACAAGATTACTAACATCTTCTTTCCTATCATGTGTCTTCTCTGCGCCATGTTCTGCAGCTGACTTTTTCAGTGGCACAGCGATAAGCCAGTTTCAACACCTTCTGACCTGGCCAGGCTCCAGTACGCCAAGCAAGAAGCAGTATGCAGGAACTAGACAGGGTCCCTCCTAGGATCTGACCCAACTACTGTCATTGCCTCTTCAAAACGGTTTGTGTGATCTCTCTGTCTTAATGCTGCAGAAAGGAGCAAAACTGGAGAAAGGTGATGATGATGCCTGCAAGTTCACACCACAGAGCTGCAACAATGCAGGACAAGAGGTTCTTATTGTTCCGGAGCTGTAAAGAGCAAAGAAACAGCTAACCCCAAGGGTCCTCAGGTGGTAAAGGACATAAAGACATGCTTCCACCTCAAGCACTGTACTCAACACTGAGCCAGTTCCACTTTTTCAGGGGTATTCTTGGTATGACCTCTCATGTCAGTATATAGTTTTGGTGTCCCATTCAACAAGGGATCTGCAGAGTGTTGCTTGTTGTTTTATTTCACCATTTCATTTGGATTTGAGGCCATGAGGTATAATTTACTGATTGCAGCTGTCCCATGTCTCTCTCATTATGGAAGCAATGTTACCGTACTCACACCAGGAACCCACACTACGCCAACATTCACTTCAGACGCGTTTATGAAAGGACTTCTAGACACCTAGAATATAGTATTAAAATAAGCAGTCTTGATGCAGAGACACCCGTGATAAAAACAGCATCATGAATCTTAACGGAGTCCCAAACACAGAAGCTTGAGGACAGGGTTGGCGTTTGAACGATACAGGTTTGGGAGCAGATCCAGCAGGTCAGCCCTCAGCACAAGAAGACTGCAGGTCTGTCTCCTGGCCCGTTACCTGGATGTCCCTGTAGGAGAAGAGCAGGTTCATGACGATGTCCTGCGTCAGAACCTCCGTGTTGTCAATGCGCAGCTTGATGCGGGAGAGCTCCTTGGCCAGCTCCTCCCCCTGGTACTTGTCTCGGGCCTTGCGGATGTCGTTCAGGAGGGTGTCCTTGAACGACGCGCTGCAGAGAGGCGCAGAGAGGGGGAAGAAAGAGGAGAGGAAGAGAGAACGGGGACATTGAGGGACAAGAGGGAGGAGGGAGAGAGGGAGAGGGAATCAATAAAACATCCGGTTCCGGCCTGAAGAACTAAGAAGCAGCTGTCTCGCCCCTGGCTTTCCTACTGTCCGCCACTGCAGCAGTAATCAAGCTGGTGGCGCAGCACTGCCCAAACCCTGTCCAAGAGGTTCACAGTCCAGCAGGACATCTTGGCATTTCACATCTGCTGCGACTGAAGAGATGGAAAGGAATATCCTGCTCCAGTTTTGCCAATAATCTGTGCTGCGGTTGGCCATGGTCAACAAGAGCTGAGCTGGACTGAAACCCTGCCGGACTGTGGACCTCAGGGACTGAATGTGTGTGCCCCAGGCCTAGCACATTCATGACATCCTGTTGCATGAACCTGGACTGACCTGGCCCTGCTAGGGTGAATAGCAACACGAGGAATGTGGATGCACTACAGATTTGTCTGATGGGACTCCACTGGAAAAAAGAGAACTCAAGAGTTCTCACAATTGTATCATTCTGTAGTGAACTGGTTGCAGACACAATGGGTACTGTTTCTCTAGCATTGGCTTTGAAATACAAAATAATAGTTTTTGTTTGGTTAATAGACCTACTTTTAAGACTGTGGAATTGTATGTATTGTTTCTAATCCCCTTGCACAGCTAAACACTCAGACTGGTGATGGACGAAAGTGCCTTTTCCAAAAACAGTAACCTCGATCCCCCGGGGATACACAGCAAGGGGGGCTGACAAAAGTGATAAATCCACTGACCATTTGTGTGCGCTCATCAGATGATGTTACCATGGCCTGCTGCTGAGAGATTAACACAAGGACAGCGCAAGACTGTTACAAAATAGATTAGCAAACGGCATCCTGTGTCTGTCAGTCTGTCAGCGGTAAACTGAACTCTATAAATCACCAGCGTTCTGGCTCTGGAGAGTCTCGTGGCTGTTGGTTTTGCAAGTGCCTTCAAACAGTGGTTAAAGATCACCGTATGTTTGACTAGCTGACAAACGGCCCATCCGAGTAATTTACTATTTGGATGAAACAAAACCCAGAAGACTCTCGAGCTCGAAGGCATTAGGGGTTGGAGACACCTTCTATAAATTAATCCAGAATCCCAGGCGGGGACTGCAGGCTGGAGATGGGGTGACAAACAGCTCCTCCCGCCCCCTGCCCGATCCCTCCACTGCGGGATTCGGACACAAACAGCTTACTAACTGCTCCTTTCACAGCAACCTCACTAACGTTTCAGACCCGGGAAGCTGGAGCTGGGCCGGTGCCGAATCAGCAGCCCTGCAATGGGCTGGAAGGCTGGGATTAGGAAGCCCAATCGGCCCTCTCCCACCCCGGCCCCCTGTCCCAGTCCTCTCCCCCCGCCGGCCTACCAGGACGTGACGTGGATGTCCTTGAGCAGGCTGATGAACCTCTCCATCAGCGGCACGCACAGCGGCCCCAGCAGGCTGTCCCAGCTGGGCTGCATGTACTCAGACGCCCGCCGCTGGGCGTCGCTCTCGCAGCACATGTACTCGTTGCTGGGGGTCATCACGTAGGGGATGAAGTAGTAGTTCCCGCTCGAGGCCTGGAAAAGAGAGGGGCGCTGTGAGCGGGCCGCCGCCCCCCACCCCGGGGAGGCAGGGCATGTCCGCGCTGGGAAACACCCGGCGGGAGGGCGAAGGCGTGGGGTCGGCACGGCAGCCTCCGGCAGTTCCTGGGGGCTGGGGGTCTTTCTCTTGCACCCCAAGAGTAACGAGCACCAGAGGAAAAGAGCGCCCCCCCCCCCTCCTTATTTTCTACACCACTGGTTCGTCAAATGTGCTTGGCGGAGGAAAACCGGGAGGGAGAGGTCAGAGCCCATGAAGGCAGCAAATGCTAAAGTTCAAGAGACCTGATCCCTGGGATCACGCAGTCACAGTGAACCCCTGCGCCTACAGCCCTTACTGAGCACTCTGACACTGCAGCACTCTGAATCGCTGCAGTAGCCACCTGTTGCTCTCTACCACTCCGCCACTCACAACACTTCATTCTGCTGCAGCGCAGGCACGTGAAGATGCACACACATAGGGTGCGTCGATCAACGGCTCTTTAAACCCAATCCCAGCCAGACGCTCGCGACAGCTTTCTGGAGGCAGCAGGCATCCCCTAACAATGGAAAACTCAATTCGATTCAATGTATTTTTATATAGCGCCGTTCACAACAAGGTTGCCCCAAGGCGCTTAACAATACAACTGACGATACATTTTGTCAATACAGAACAGAAGACCAAAATGGCAAACTGATCTAATTCTGAACAAGGGCAGAGTATCCTTCTTACTTTAAGGGGAATGCCAGAGAGGAATGAATGATGTGAGTGAGAAAAGCGTTTTGGCAGAAGCGAAGCCTTTAGATATTTAGGTTTACCGTCTCACTTTAATTAGCGAAGCTCAGGAAGAGCATGAAACCTGGGCTAAATGGAGCCTAACGTCCGCCCCCAGGCAGCCCCTGCCCTGCGGGTCTAATCGGCCGCTCCAGCAGTGGTGTGGTCTGAAAGCACACGCAGGCATCCAAAACAAAACAGGGGCTTGGAAAGGCTTTCCCACGCTCATGCTCGGCCTGGGGAGGGGGGTGACATGAGGAACAGGTGCACAAGGATGGGACTGGCCCAGTGCGGAGATCACACTGGGACAACTGGCTGGGGTGGGGGGAGGGAGCCAGCATGCACCACGGTACCTACTTTGTTTCGTAAGCCACACCCACGGTATTCGGGAGGTAGCTGCACCCAGGGGAAGCCTACGGTGCCTGTTCCTGCAGCCTACTCCAGGTAAGACACACGGGAGAGAGACAACATGAAGAACACAGGAGAGCAGAGCCTCAAGGATCACAGCTGCACAGGGACAGAGAGAGGAGAGGACCGGAGACCAGAGGGAAAACACCCCGAGTTTCTCAACAAACAAAGCATGACAGATCCACACACTGAAGTCAAAGATTTGAGCTGCTGATTTCTAAAGCTGACAGGAAGCGTGAATCATCCAGCTCCAGGACAGCGCAGGAAAGGATGCTCTTCGTCTGGTCTTAAAGGTACAGCGCAAGGCTTGGCCTTCTCCATAAAACACAAAAACACAAACACAAATCCACAGGGACATCTCCATCTCGCTGTTAAAAATGTTCTGCCTGAAACCAATCTAAAAAAACGGCTCCCTCTCCCCCTTGAGAGCATGCTGCACCTCTCCTACACATCAGGCGTAAGACATGTGAAGAGAGCCCTGAAGGTCAAAGGTCAAATAGACAGGTATGCAGTACAGGGTGAACACATGTCAGGCTGCAGGGCTGTGTACAGGAGGGAGTCCCAGATCCAGGTGATTTCACAAGAGCTTCCGACTGTGAGCCAGAACCCGGGATACTGTCCAGTAGGACGTAGGGGTGACCAGCTGAAATCTTTAACAAAGTCAGGGCTGCAGTGGAGCAAATCGAGACACACCCGCACTGCCCTGCAATGCCCTGGTCCCCCTCCCCCCCCACCCACGAAAAACAAGTTAACACAAAAGGCTGAGTTTTAAAAAAAATATGCCATCACCTTTCAAGAGTGTTATTCTCAACAGTTTTTATATCCCAGCAAAGGCCATACCAGCACACCGAGCTTCGAGCCTCTCCTCGGCCTGCTAACCCCACTTCTGACCCATTCCGTTTCTTATGAGCCGAAAGAGAACAGAATAACAGGCCCCGGACAGAAGATGGAAATGAATTAGCCTGGGGTTTAGGCCTCGGCTGGAGAAACACCCAGAGGAGTCCATGGTCAAACAGGCCCAGGGCTGGGGCCCGCAGCCTGAACAACTGCCTTCCTTCGCAATCACCTCTACAGCCTGACCTTTCAGCTGGTTTCTGGGAAACGTGTTTTGTTTTAGTTAAGGTGTCATTCCTGTTTGGCAGAAGATACGATCTCAGCTTAGAGAAAACGTATAATTCCCAGGGTTGCATCCCAGCCTCTACTGCCACCCCCAGCTGCTAAAAATTAATACTTACTGTGTTCTTTTGTGTCACCATATCCTGGAAGGCAGAGGAAAAAAAAGGCAGTGTTAGCTGACATCACACACAGCATCCATTGATTAAAGCAAACGGGTTTGCATAGTTAATCCTGACAAAATCCGTGAAGATTATCAAAATAAGCAATACGAGATGGGAGATGGGATGGGAGACCTCCTGGGAAAGCTAAGGTTTCTGCTGGAAGAGGTGTTAGTGGGGGCAGCAGGGGGCGCTTACCCTGTGGTCCATGTGGGTCCTAATGCGCCAGTATAGTGACGGGGACACTATACTGTAAAAAGGCGCTGTCCTTCGGATGAGACGTAAAACCGAGGTCCTGACTCTCTGTGGTCATTAAAAATCCCAGGGCGCTTCTCGAAAAGAGTAGGGGTGTAACCCCGGCGTCCTGGCCACATTTCCCATTGGCCAATCATGGCCTCCTAATAATTCCCCTCTCTGAAATTGAATTAATTGCTCTTCTCTCCTCCCCACTAATAGCTGATGTGTGGTGAGTGTTCTGGCGCACTATGGCTGCCGTCGCATCATCCAGGTGGGGCTGCACACTGGTGATGGAGGGGATCCCCATTACCTGTGATGCGCTTTGAGTGGAGTGTCCAGGAAAGCGCTAGATTAGATCTGAACCTAGAGGCACACACCTAGGCTAGCGGCTTTGGCACTGAGCAAGAAGGGCAGAGTCCCGCGTCCAAATTCCTCCTTAATAAAACAAAGGATTAGCCTCATGTCACCTGGCTTTCCTGCGATTTGTTTCCAAAGGCTGTGCAAAACACACACAGGCTCTAGACTGACCCAGCAGGCTTGTAAGTCTGAACAGCAAAATAATTCTGCTTGAACACAGCAGCCTACCTGGGCAATGAGAGACTCACACTCTATTGTCAAGATGAGGCAGCCTGAGAAGCTGGCAATTTAAAGAGCATTAGACTGACAGAAAACAGCAGGTTTTAACCCCCCGCCTTGATAACTGCTCTCCTGCAAATGTAAGATACTCCGGTAGAGAGTGGCATGTCATTTCATGTGAGCATGCAGTGACTGCAACAGAACACACAGTGAACAAAAACCAGATACTGCCTGCCATGTAAAGGCCAGAAGTACACTACCACAAAAATCAAAACAGAAATGAAAAAGGAACTGCAGTAATTGCACCATTCTTTAACAACTATACTTGATCACACGTCATCCTGGTTAAGTTTAAGGTTCCCAGAAATGACGTCTCAGGACAAACGTGTTTTTTCCCTAGAGTGATCCTTGTGTGGGATTTTTACTTTATCTGTGACACAGGCTGCTTTATGGCACTGTTCTGTACTGTGCTGTGCTGTTTTGGGTGTGATGTCTCTAAAGGTTCAGCAGACTGGGCCTGGTCTTCACTCCCTGCTACAGATCGCTCTTCATTCCCTTGCCAAACCTGGGTAAAGACGCAGGTTCGTCTTTTCATTTTCCTGTGTCTCCTGCTACTGTATGCTTTGACTTTCCCATGGCTTGCTGTAGACCCTATCAAGCCTGATCAGAGCTCACCACGTTTTTACCATGATTTCACTGAGATTTATTACCCTTTCCTGTTTGCCAGCACGCTCCACAGCGCACTGTCATAAGACGAGGCTGTCCTGTCTCACTGAACGACCCCTTTGATCTCAGTACATGGGTTTCAGGGGAGAAAAAGCAGAAGGAAAGCCATTGTCCTGTATAATGTATGAGAAAACACGTTTTGAAGGAGGGGGCAGAAAACTGGACAGAGCTATAGATCAGACCAGATCCAAAGCAAATGTTATACACAGCTGGGGAATCCGTATTAAATCAATAGGGATTGAATGGACAGCGTGGTTTTAAGCAAATGATTTACATGCACTTAAAAACCGTATCTGGCTTTCAGCGATGTTACTTCTGTCCAGATGCTCTGTGCAGAATAAGCAGCCCAAGGTGACACAGGGCACGCAGGCCGGGCTGCAGGAAGGCAGCCTGAAACCGATCCCGGGAAAGCAGGCTTTGTTCCGAGGGCTGGGATGGCATGCGCTGCTCAGCGACAGCATTTCCCGCTGGCC